AATGGAACCTTCCACAAGGTGGGAAGGAGGGTGGCACCTTCTTCGTCGAGGTGGGGTGAATGGAACCTTCCTGAAGGGAGGGTTGAAGCATCCAGAAGGCAGAAATGGGGGTTGTGGTGCCTTCCTGAAGCAGGTAGGAGAACCGTCCAGAAGGGCAGCAGGGCAGGTGGGCACTTAGGTCCCTTCTCCTCCTTCTTCTTCTTTGTCTTCCTGCTTCTTCTCTTTCTCCCTATAAACAGGCCTTATTTGGAGCAGGCATTTTGCTCTGGTGGAGAGCTGTGGCAGCGCCCCGAGCTGCCCTCACACGTGTCTGCCCCTTCCCACACGCTGCTACAAGCGGTTCCCTAAATCCGCCATCAGCGCGAAGGCTTGTTTTTATATTTATTATCCATATATTTATATGGGGGTGGCTACAAGCTGGGGCTGGTTGCCTGCAGCCCACCCTCTGGCACCTAGACATTGCCACAACCATCTGTGAGGCCACCAGCAGATCCCAGTGCAGCTCAGCTGCTCCAGGGATGCTTCAAAGCCAATAAAGCCCATGTCCTCAGGGCCAAAGGCAGTACCAGATCTGGCCTGTTCATGGATATGAAGGTGGCATCTTGCTTGAGGGCATGGAGATAAGTGCCCTAAGCTTGAAATGAGTTAGCCTGGGGCTCAGAGCAGCGTCACCGAGTCAGTGCCAGAGCTTGGTGGAGAAGAGTCCTCTGAAATGGGGATTCTTCGAGGGCTTGACAAAACTGCTCACACAAAATGGATTAGTTGCATTACAAAATCTTGCCATTAAGATTTCATGCATCCAGTAGACACAGAAGCTCAGTTTTGATCAGGCCATGCCACTAGCTTGAAGCACAAACTCCTGCAGGATGTGTTAACCCTTAGAGTTCAATGCAAAGATTTCTCTGTGATGGAAGTAAGTCAAGTCCAACCCTAATGGACACAAGATTTTGGTTCTGTCTGTTTCTGATTATTTGTATCTGTTCAAAATGTTGGCACATGTTGCAAAATATTAGTCATTAACCTTTGTGAAAGTCTCACCGTAGCCAAGAAAACTACAGCCATTGCATGTTGGAGATGTCCTAGAACAAATGAAATAAAGAAATACTGTACCTGCAATCTCAGCAGCTGCTTTTACTCATTAATATCCTCTACTTCTACATTCATTCTGTATTTCCTGTGCTATCAGCTAGATGGACAAGGCGCTCAAGGCACATTTGCTATGCTGAAGTGGTGAGAATTAAGTATCTCTGTGTCCCTCACATGGCTGCTTATACCCCTGTATTTTGATTCCCAAATCTCTTATTGGAGTTGGCTGGGAAGTGTGTTTGTAACGGCTGGAAAAAAAGCCTTTGCATACCTGTCCATGGATTGCACGTTTTTATTTTGCTGGGTGATTGCAGGAGAATAGAAAGGAAGAGAGCACGAACTTGAAAGCCCCAAGGAGAAAGTTATAAGGCAATGCCAAAAATCCCACAGAGAAAGCTATAGGGCAATGCCAAATCTGGGGTCTCTTTGTGCATGTTTACCCCACAAAAGCTGAACCCCCCAGCTCCACACTGCACCAGAAAGAGAACACACTTTCTCCTTGCTTGTGCACAGCCTTTCCAGTGTGCTCCGTTCACAGATCTTCTCCATTTAGGCCGTGCAGCTGAATATGTTTCTTGTTTTTTCTCTCCTTTCTCCACCATCCTCCTGGGGCTAGTTGTCAAGCTTTTCATCACTCACCGTCAAGCAGTGCAAAATGAACAGCCCTGTTCAACTGCCTGCGATTAAGGGGGCTCTTATCTGTGAGCAAACAAAATCTCTGTTTGCCAGGGAAAGACCTGAGGCCTTTGGGGCTTATGGAGCCCAGAAACATGTGTTATTGCTTTCACAGTTCACTTACCAAGGAGTCCTAAACTTTGCTCTCCTACCTACGTATGTTTTCCTGCTTGCTCATTGCTTCTGTGTTTTTCTGAGTGGATGGATTCAGGTTTTTCCCTCTCCCTTCTCTGTGTATCCTTACCTAGCAGACATGGGCATGAATTGAAAACAGCCTCTAGGCTGTAGGAGCTCTGCTTTGGTTTTCAAACTAGATGCAAATCACCATGGCTGAGGCCTCTTGCTAAGCCCTAGTGATGGCTGAACTGCTTCAAATCTTAACATAGATTGTCTGTCCTTTGGACCTACCAGATGTTGCAATGTTGTTTGTCACTCACGTGGCTGCTGGGTTCAAAAACTGGGATATTTGTCTTCATTAGGGCCTGAAACATGTGAATTCAAATGCTTTAAAATTTGGTCAGGTCTGAGGCAGATTTGGCCAGACCTTAGAAGAGAGGTCCTTACGGCTTCTGAATGTCCCACCATAGATGTAGCAGTGATGATCTGTGTGGAAGAGGGTGGACATTTATAAGCCAGGATGAAACTGTGGGATGGAGGATCATGGAGAACCTGAAGGGTGGCAGTGGCATAAGGAGGGAGTTTTCATTAAATTAATCTGAGCACATGGAGATGCATGTGAGGGCAAGAACTGGGAGAAGATAAAGTGGGTTTCTTGCCTGGAAGGACACAGAGAGGGAGCAAATGGGAATGCTGGACTTTTGGATGCATTTTGATCTTTGTAGGACCTTTTTGGCAGTGCTGGATTTTGTCATCCTGATCTTCACACCACTAAAAGGGATCTCTGCTGGATGTCTTCTTACGACGCAAGCCTCACACCAGCCAGATGGTTCCCCTAGCAGAGCAGCTTAGCAGTAAGGTCTCTTAGGGCGCTCTCAGTCAGTCTCCATTGGAGTGTTTGCTCATACCTATTCTGGCTGCATGACACAAATGTGTATCCAAGCAAAGAATTGCAAAGTATAAGTGCACAAACCTGCCCTGGATCTGGTGAGATTGTGTGTTGTCAAGCATGTCTGGGTAAGGCCAACAAATGCCAAAAAAACATGGGAAACGTGAAGTAACTCATGAATTGCAGGTGACCTGCACATGAGCATGGCCAAGAAAACATGAACAACAAGGAAAGAGTAGAAAAATGGGCTGTTTAGTCTAGAAAGGGCTGAGAGACATGCAAACAGTTGTGAAATACATGCCCAAAGACAGGTTATTGCTCTTCTTCAGATCCACCTTATGGTGGGGCATGAAGTAATGGACTTCAGCTGTGCTGCCAGAAGCTAAACATTGGGAAAAACCTTTCTAATGATAGTGCTAGTTCAGACTCCCCTCCCTGTCTCTGGTGCTAGTGGGATCTCCATCACTGGCAATTGTTACGAGGAGCCTAAACTAACATCTAGATTTGACATCTGCCATGCGGCAGTAACCAGCTGGATGGAGCAGACAGCGTTTTGACGTCTCTTTGAGCTCAGCTTTCCTTGACTTCTTCCACTTTCCATGACCGGTTTCCAGTACCATAGGGTAAATATTCATTTGTGACCCTCATGCCCACACCAGGAACACAGAAAACAAATCTTGTGGTCACCTGACAGCAAAAGTGCTGGTTTTGGTGCAGTGTCTTAATCATCTTTATGCTTTAAGCCAGCTCATCAAGACAGTCTGCTGTCTCCACCCGCTGTCAGTGGCATAATGCAGCACAGCCCCATGGTATCAGTGCTTTAGGTAACTTAAGAGCAGGGTAACCATGTTGCCACACGGCTTTGGAATTAAATTTTTATACTTGGGTGACCTGGGGGTGTCTTTACCCAATAACTGAGCTTTTCACGATGGCTTCACCCCAATCCAGGAGCACGTGAATTCCTGTGATTGCCCGGATGGGCAGACGCGTCTGCTTCAGGGTGGCACCCTTTGGCACTGTTTAATTAGCAGAGGTCAGAACTGCCTGCTCTTTTGCTTCATTGCAAGCCACCTTCATTTACACTCTTGCTGCAGCCAGCCTCGGATATTTGAGAGCACAGTGGGAATGAGAAAAATTCATTGCATCGCTTGTATCTCGCTTTTCTGTTTTATTTTCACCTTCTGCAAACTGACCATAAGGTTTTTTTTTTCTTTTCTTTTTGAAGTGTCAGTTTGCAAGTGGTTTATCTAATAATTTCTGCGAAGACACCCAGTGCTCTTGGTTATTTGCAAGCAATTTGCATGTGTGTTTCATCCAGGTGTGTAGTGCAGCAAATTGCTCCCTCTTGTTCTGAATGACTATTGCTGTCTCTCATAATCTAAGGAAATTGGACTCTCAAACTGCGACTTCACAGCAGGCATTCCAGGATTTGGACGTGTCCACTATGGTCTTGGGGGCACTGTGGTACTTTCTAAAGCAATAGAAAGTGGCTATTAATACAGTACTGGATAACTGTGCTCCTTTGTGTGCCAACACAAGTTTTTTTTCCTAATTCTTTCCTTATAAGCTTGTTGGTGCCCTGCTGGGTGAACTGCTTTTCTCTGTGCTATTTGCCTTGCTGATAACCACATCAATTTCCAGCAAGTTCTTTGTTTAAAAACCCAGTTACAAACCGATCTCCCATGTGTGCATCTTTATAGCTACTCTTTCTACCCTTGAAAAAACGGTGCCAGCAAAGCTATTTCAGTCGGGAAGAATTTTTTTTTTAAGCAATCACTCTTGTTGGTGCAGCAGTTATGCCAGGATGACAGTGCTGTGTCCTGGTATAGTTTTATACCCTTTCCCACATGAGCTAGTGAAACTGGTAGCGGTTTGCACACAGATCACGGTGATACTGAATTAATTCCCACACCTCTGACTAGGCTCAGGTTCATCTGATGCATCTTTGAGAGTCTGCATGGAGTGCTTAAGTTAATGATTTCGTTTCCCAGAGCCCCCTGTGCAGTCAAAAGGAGAGAGAGGCTCCTTCAGAGGTGGTTCAGAGCACCACAGTTATAACCAGAAGCAGCCACTGCATAACGCCAGCTGCTAAGGGGGACTGCAATGTGCTTTTCCTTCAGGTCACTCAGCATTCAGTGGGTAAAATTAGGTAAGTGTCCTCAGCATCCTTTGGGAAAAGCTTACCCGCAAGGAAAGGAGAGAGTCTCCCCCGAAAACTTGCCATGTTCTTTTTCAGGAGGAAAATGAGATAAACCCTCTCAGATGGATGCCAGTGCCAGCAGCCTCAAGAGGATCAAGTTTGGGAAGCTGAAGGTGGTGCGTCGGCACTTGCTGCAGAGATATGAGCACCAGCCCTTCATCTCCTGCCTGGCCGGTTTCTACAGCTGCCGGTGGAAGCGGTACCAGCGCAGAAGGACCGAGCCCGGGAAATGCTGCTGCAAGACGGTAAATTAGCCCAGAATCAGCAAAGATGTTGAAATCTGCACTGGGACAAGTCAGATAAGTCAAGCTGACAAGTGACTGTTGTTTTAAGTGGCTGAGCCTAGCTTTGTTCCACCTCTGCTTCAGAGAGTCCAGCACTAAGCAGAGTATTTTGTGAACAGCCAACAACTAACTGGTGTCTGCTCTTTGCTCTGCTGGATTTGGGGCAAATAAAGCTCTAACCACTTGGCCTTTCTCTCCCTCTCCAGCGGGAATGCATGTTCTTCCCATTGCTTGTTGGAGCATTCTGCTTCTCTCTGATCTTCCTGTACATGTGGGGCGAAGCAAAAAATGACTACAATAACTTTGACTGGTAAGTACCATGTTTGCCTTCTCTCTTCCTTGTGTTTTAGTGAGAATCCCTGGGCAGATCCTTGGGATCAACTAGTTTAGGAATCACCATGGAAGAGGGGAGCAGCAGTGATATGCTAAGTGAAGTGATGCAGCAGGACACTGCAGTCACAAACTGAGGTTATGGCTCCTTAAATTCTTGGTTAGTGCCTGCAAATTGAACATCGCATGATTTCAGAGGTGCCAAGGGTCTGCCCTTTGCTTGGCTGTGGTTTAGAGGTGTGAATTTGTGTGAAAAATTGTAAAGGATGCAGAAGAAGGCTGTGAAAACTGAAATGTGCTGACAGCTTCCCAGAGACACAGCCAAAAGAGCCTCTCGTTCCCACTCCTGAACCAAATGCTGCTGACTTGCCTCCCCTATTTTTATCCATCTCTTCCATTTCTGCACCTTCCTTCTAGCACCACTTCCATGTTTTCAGGAGGATTTTGGTGGCAAGACCCAGTTTTCCAGTGTAAATGTTTCTTTCTTGTCCCACCAAAGCACTTCAGAGCCCCCAGGGAATCCTGAAGACCCCGTTCTGGTTGTCCCCACATGCACAGAGCACATCCAGCCTCTACATGTGCCCATAAATTACGAAAATCAGTTGACCCTCTCCACAGCACCAGCCAGAGTCACTCAAGCCTTGAGGCTGCTTTAACACTCTAGATCCCTGCTTGGCCCTGACTGATTAACACTGATTCCTCAAAGGATTAATTAGCTTGGATGACATCCTGGGGTCTGCTGATAGCTGGGGAATTTACACTGTGGCTTAGCCTTGCCCTGACAAGGCAAAAGCAATATAGTATCTGCTCGAGAAGTGGGGAAACAAAGGGCAGGACAATGAAATACCTTAGCTGTGGACAGAACAGGGAACGTTTTCTGCTAGGGACAGAGCAGGGATTTTCTGGATGCCAGTCAATTGCCATAAACTCAGAGGCTGCCTTTCTCTCAAAGCCAAGGGTTTAAGATCAAGTTGAACAGTCACTCTGAGGGCCCCAGTCCTCTACACCTATAAGGAGGGTAATAGAAGAAAGAAAATTAGGAAGATGGAATGAAAGGGACTAAATAGCTCTTTCGTTATCTATTTTTTCCTTCTCCCTGAAACACAGCAGTTGGAGTTGGAAGCATTGCAACAACTATTTCAGTGCAAAGAGATTTGCATGTTGCCAATCTAGGAACTGTGGAATCGCCAGCGAGGATGTTATAGAGCCTTTCCTCCTGTAATGCAGACAGTAGCAGTTATGCAAATCAACCCCTAAAATTAGTTGCCATCTAAAGAGCTCAACTCTTACAGAGAGGAGAAGTATAACAAGGTAATTCATTCTCAGAGAGACATTGGGTCCGTAACCTTTGCCTTGTCTGCAGCAAGCTGCTGCTTTTTTATAGTTAGATTGTGACTTCTCTGGAGCAAGGCTATCCATTTGATCTGTGTTTTACTCTTCTGGCACAGTGGAGTCTTAGTTTGGTGCTTAACGCATTCATGTTGGATTTGGGAAACCCAGTCAGGTCTCTCAACCACTATTATATGTACCAAAGTAGGTTCTTTTTCCTTCATTATTTTGTTATTTTGAAAGGTTCAGCATTTCAAGGAGCAGAGCTGTTGTTTGCCTCCAGCCCATGTGCTGAAGTAGCACAAACATCATTAAGGCTACTAGCAGAGCTATTAGCCAGCACAGCTATTGGTAGGGGTGGGAAGAGGCAGCTCCATGTTCCAAAAACCATGTCAACTCATAGAATCATAGAATGCTTAAGGTTGGAAGGGACCTCTCGAGGTCATCTAGTCCAACCCCCTGCACATGCAGGGTCACCTAGAGCACGTGGCACAGGACTGCGTCCAAGCGGGTTTGGAAGATCTCCAGAGAAGGAGACTCCACAACCTCTGTGGGCAGCCTGTTCCAGCGCTCTGGCACCCTCACTGTCAAGAAATTTTTCCTTAAGTTCCTGTGGAACTTTTGGTGCTTCAGTTTGTGGCCATTACCTCTAGTTCTGTCGGTGGCCACCAGTGAAAAGAGGCCAGCACCATCCTCCTCACTGCCTCCCTTGAGGTACTTCTAGACACTGCTCAGGTCCCCTCTCAGCCTTTTCTTCTCCAGCTGAACAGGCCCAGCTCCCTCAGCCTCTCCTCATAGGGCAGATGTTCCAGGCCCCTGACCATCCTTGTAGCCCTGCGCTGGACTCTCTCCAGCAGCTCCACATCCCTCTTGTACTGTGGAGCCCAGAACTGGACACAGTACTCCAGATGCGGCCTCACCAGGGCTGAGTAGAGGGGCAGGATCACCTCCCTCGACCTGCTAGAGATGCTCTTCTTAATGCACCCCAGGATCCCATTGGCCTTCTTGGCCACGAGGGCACACTGCTGCCTCATGGTCAACTTATCATCCACCATGACACCCAGGTCTTTCTCTGCAGAGCTGAGCAATCCGTGGTGGTTGGCTGCCAAGGCAAGGCTGAGCTGACGTGATGCTTGTGCCTCATGCAAACACACAATGACATTCAGAGCAATGTGATTTAGATCCAATAATCTGTGCCCATCAGCACTAGCCATGTTTTGTTGGGTCAATACAGACCTGGATCGTGAAGTGCTCAAAAAAAAATCCACCCCCCAAAAATCCACCCAAATCTCTTTTCCAAGCAGTTGTGCTCCAAAGGTATTCCTCTGGGGGTTCTTTAGTCAAAATTAGTTAGAATCATATAGATATAAAATCATTAAGGTTGGAAGGGACCTCTAGAGATCTATCTGTCTATCTATTTATCTATATAAAATCTAGCTACCTATATTTTATAAAATTTCTTGATTTTTAGGTATAACTATGGAAACTTGGGCTTCTGGTTTCTCTGGTCTGTTGTTCTTCTGATTGTGGCTGCAATCCTCTTCATGTACATCACACTCTTATTGGTAAGTACCACTCCTTGTAAGCAATTCCTTATGAGCTGACAGAGGGTCTAAGAAGTGAATATAGGGATGATTTAACGTGCTAGACCAAAGTTCAATCTAGTCTGGTCTCCTGCCACTGACAGAGGATGTCTGGGTAAGGCTGGGAACACAACAAACATTTAAAAGTGTCCACCTGGGATCTCTGAGATTCGGTGGCTTTTTTTCCAGTGATTTCTCTTTAATGAATTTGCCTGGTCTCTCCTTGAACCCAAGTAAAGCCATGCCAGCAGCAGCCAAATTTGGATATAGTGGAAGCTGAAGTTTCTTGTTTTAACAGTAGGGAAATAAGGAACTTTGAGTCATGTAGTAGCAGTACTATGTCATCAAAGCTGAGTTATTCCTCTAATGTTAAATAATACTCACTAGAAGGGAAACACTATCACTGAAGCAGCTATGATTCTCTCTACATTAGAGAGAATCTCTCCAGTTTCTCTCCATTTAGAGGCTGCAAACATGCCCACAAAACACTCTCCTGAAGTTTATGTTGAAACCAGGAATGTTCATGAATTTTTTACTTTACCAAATCATGATAAGTTTTCTGATCAGCTGTGTGCTTAACCTCCAAGTGAATACATATGTAGAAGTTTGCATCCTCTGCATAAAAAGATGTGGACTGAGAAATCACTTTAATCAAGGACTAGAGTCTGCATTCAGGCTCATGCATGCTCCAGTTTTCATTTTGAAATTCCAAGGACTGAGGCTGAGGTTATGGCTTTGTCTCACCTCTGTGACCAAGATAACCGGTTTTTATGAAAATCTCCTGCTGTTCTTGCCCATTTCCTGCTGTGTCATCTTATAGTCACTCTGTATATTGCTCAAGGCGGGGAGTTTCTTTTTGCTCTTTCCAAGCAGTGCCTTACACAATAGGTTTCTGGGGTCTTTTGTCCCTGTGGAAGTACAAATAAATAGTAATTTTGTCCTAGTGCTAGAAATAAAAAGCAAAGTGATGAAAAGGACAGCTGCTTGGCCATGCTGTCAGCACCAATAACACCATAGATACTGTGGACTAAGTTAGCTCTGAGTTGGACAAATAACAATATTTGATTGCAAGAATTTTGCTGGGTGCTGGTAGCTCTTAGCCTTGAACTCTGTTACTTACTCAGCAAAGTCTTCCTGGCTTTCCAAGCTGCCATGGAGCAGAGCTGTCAGTGTAGAGGTTACAGTGCTGCTTTGGGTGACACTTGCCAAGGATACGTGTGTGACATGGATACCTCTGAGACTCTACTTTGACGAGTGCAAGTATGCAGTCATCACAGCGTGGATAGGAATGAGATTTACATGATTTCCTGAGCATGAGGACTCCTGGTTCTCATTCACGCTTTTTCTGGATCCAGGGAAAGGCCTGGTCCATCTCAGACAGTCCAGTGGAGACAGATTACAACTCAGTTCAAATCTTTGTAACCAGCATTGATGTGATAGCTGGAAGCTACAGGCAGATAAGGACAAGCTAAAGCCAAAAAGAAATTATGAACAGAAAACGGCTCTTCATTACAGTTCAGTCTTGGTTCCTGTTTCATTGTGTTGACATGTCTTTCCCATCACAGTACCTTGATTTTCTCAAACAAAGTGAGCAGGGCTTGCCTTCAAAGCCAAAAGCCAAAGACAAAAGACAAGGAGGAGTTTGGATACACTGTCCTTGCATGCTCCTGCATACATCTCAGTGCATCTCAAAGAGTTTTCCATTGTTTTTTTTTTTTTCGTATAAGTGAAAGAAGTATGTGACTAGAGCAAGTCTGACATCTGCCACCTCGGACTGCATCAGTCTAACACTGTTCCAGCAAAAACATTAGTCTCCAAAGGTTCTACTCTAGCTTGAGAAACCTGATAGGACCCACACTTCCCTGAGCTCTTGGCAGACTGCATCAGTCTAACACGGTTCCAGCAAAAACAGTCTCCGAAGGTTCAATTCGAGCTTGAGAAACCTGACAGGACCCACACTTCCCTGAGCTCTTGG